CGATGCAAAGCGGATTGGTCCGCCCCGGAAAGTGGTCGTTACGAGAGCATTGGCCGTGGTAGTCTGGCTAAGCCTGGGGCCAGGTCGGATTGATCCGTCTTCACTATCCGTGGAGAGCTCAATCACCCTGACCCGTCCACTCGGTCTGTTTGTGCATGATGACGGGGAGGAGAGTGTTTGGCGGGTTCGCAGGCGCGATTGTGTGAGTCGATTCTGCTGGGACGAGGGTCGTTGTGGCATTGCAACGGGAATCGTTTGGGAGGGTGAAGCCGCCAAAATGGTATGAGGATTGGGCGACCGAATGAAGAAAGATAGGCGTTTATGAGCTTCCTGGGGGATAACATGAGTATTACTGATCCTCCATCATTACGCATCACCAGAAGAGCGGTGAGGTGGACATTTGCCGGAGTATGCCCACATGTCTTGGTGTTCATTGTCTGAGATGAGACAAAGTGTTTGACACGGGCCTAAGCCACGACAATCAGATACCCAAGGATCCAATTACAATGAAAGAAAATTTAGTGACGAAGTTCGCTGTGAATGGCATTCAAGGCATTCAAGTCATGGATTAGGTTGAGTAGGTGTTGAAAGACTAAATGACAGACGTTGTTGTTTCATGGATCGATAGTGAAACCGTTCCGTCAGGTAGTTAACCCATTTCCATGGAATCAAGAATTTAGAAGGAACCACTTTGAGTAGATTTGCGATGGAATAGTCGCAGTATTAATTCCTGGCCCTTTTCATTCGTTCGCTTGTGGTTCGATTTCCGTCGCATCTGCATGTACCCGTTGACGGTGCCTTGATTTTTGCCGCCGTGAACCGCTCAGTGCGAAGGTAGCCTTCTTCGTAAATTACCCGAAAGGTGGTCATCTTCAACGGGTTAAATGAAAAGCAACACTACTATGCGGTCCTCCGGCGGATACTCACCCAGACTGCCATCATCATCGGTTCCGAGATGTCAAGAGCACGAACTACTCTTCACTGAATAATCAACAAGTACCGTACGAATCAGATATCCAGCGAGTGATGCTTTCGAGGCAGTTCGAGAATTCAGATGGAACGCTTGATACAGTATTGTGCAGGGAAGTGGGAGGTCGGCTATTGTGAGGCTTCCCAGCAGTTAAAGCACGCTTTGCGTACTTGAAGAAAAGAAACGCTGGATTTTGTGTTTGATGTAACCAATGCTAGGAAGTCAATGAAGATGACTTTCAATCATCCTAGCTCTACGCAAGCTGAGCCAACACCTTCGAAATGAACTTGTCCTGGTAGAATAGCCCCCATTCCCCAGCCAGCAAGTACCAAAGACATGAATCACAGTTGACCCCTTGTTCTGTCGCCACGCAAAGCCCGGTGTTCGGTTTTCCGTCCAACTTCTCTACACTATTCGAATTTGTAAGCCTCTCACGGTAGAAACCAGCTCGAACTGTTTTTCCGATGTATCGCAAAACTTGACGAACATGCGCACCCTATGCGAGTAAGGCTGCCAAAGTGCATGGAACCGAGTTCCCAGAGATTTCTCCATGGCCTGAAGTCTCTTCGCGCTGCTTGGAATGTGGTGATTCAATGCGTTACTGGTTCGGTTGCGGCGCTGTAATTTCGGGCCTCTACAGTCCTCGTCAAGGATAATCTCTTTGAGCGCGAGAATTGCCGCCATTGGATTGCGGTATCTGGTGTCGCGTCCACCAGCAAGAGCATAGACGAAGGCCTGAGGTCGCATTCTCAGGTGGATTTTATGGAATGCAGGCTGTAGATAGGCTAATTGCGCAACGAAAGGGGCAACTCCTGGACCTGTTCGGTGGTTGATAACCACGTGGCAAGAGTCAAAGGTATCAATACCTGGGAGCACCACGGCGAGAGCGAGTGGTTTGCCACGGTGAAAGATCTCGAAGTCTGGTAGAAAGACTTTCAGCACAGTCTGTCTGAAAAGTTGATTGATTTGGCATACATCTCGAATCATCTTGAAGCGTAGCGATGCGAGACGCCTTTGACGGAGGTTGAGGTTGAGCTTTGGGCTTGTGTCGTTCCGGGAATCATAAGTCGCATTCCACGTCAATGGCTGAGCAGAAATTTCGGCATCATCTACCATGGTCTGGGCAATGAGAAGGACGACCTCGAGTGGGAGACACTTTGGCGACGTTTTCCCTGGGGTATTATTTAGGTGCAAGCCTTCTCGATGAAACAAACGGGCTGATCTTCGGCAAGCCATGGTTGAGAGGTCTGTTGTGGTCGATACTGACAGAATGCTGTGTTGTACGTCTCTCAGAGAAAATTCTCTTCAACTGTACAAAAGTGGATTAAGTATCCCAAATTCATTTTCCGCTCATGGAGACTTGATCCACGCAGACCATCTCAGAAGATTCTGGGAATATGTGGTGTTGCAAAGAACGTCAGCATGCACTCCGATTGACGGCGGTTGTAGGCGACTGAAAAGGAGATTTCAAAGGCTAGGTACACCAAAGACAGCGCGCACAGCCCGTCTTCATGTGCACCGCGCTGGCTCTGTCTTTGTCAAAGTCACCCAACATTAGAGCCTTTCCATTCGATTCGCAACGGTTGGTCGCGAAGCATCTTGCTCTGACGTAGCCGACAAAGAATGAGTGTAGTCAGCCGTTTTGTATCATATCTCTGGGTCCTTTGCGATCATTACTTGGTTCCCAAGTCCGGTCTTCTAGAGCGAGTACACTTATCAGCTGGCCGGCCCCTTGCCGAGGTTCGACCAGGAAGTCTGGGCCTGGTCCGGGAGATAAACGCCAACGACATCTTAAGGAACTACCCTACCTTCGAGTTAGTCTAGAGAAACATCCTCGTAATTTCTTAATAACTACTTGACCAGCGTTGCATCGCTTCTGCAGGCCTATGTATGCTACATCGTATGGGAGGCCAACGCGGCAAGGTCGCTCTTGGCTATGCAGGGGTCCGGAATGCGAAATGCGAAGTGCGAGGGTGAAGATGTCCAGTAGCAGGCACATACCCATATCAAGAACCTCGCAGATTCACATCCATCAAACTAAGATTTACTCATCTAGTACAAATACCCTCTCCTGCTAGGCAACTTAATCTTTCGTAAACCATATTCTGAAGACTCCCTTGCAACACTCGCTCGCAACCTTTAGTATCGAATTATAAACCAGAACTTTGATCGGCATCGTTTCCACCCCTTCTACGCATCGTTATAGCTCACGCAACCATTCTCAAATGCAGTCATCGGCCTAGCACTAGCACGCTGCGAAGATCGCGAATCGACCGTTTCGCTGGAGCCTTCCAGCTGTTCGCCTGTGCTTTGATTGGTTTATCTGCGCCTTTACAGACCTTTGCTTTTGACAACCTTGGTGCCAACAAAGTGTTTGGCAGCAGTGCCCTACAACGTCTCGAATCTCGAGCGTCTTAGATCCGCGAGATGAGCATGACTAGCAGCAATGCCTCCCGTGAGGGCCAACCGGTCGTCGCCATCAACCCCACAAATCCGGACAATATTGTCTTCGTCTCGACATGCTTCCATCCTCTGCCCGAACTTGAGCCCGTGGGGGGCTGCTTCCTGACCAACACGCTTGACCGGGGAATTACCTGGAATAACGTCACGGCGAATTACCCTTTGGGGACCGCTCCAAAGTGCGGCGAACCACAGGTCTTTGTCGACGCCAATGGAACGTTCTACCTCCTGAACAACCAAGTTTTCTCCGGCTTAGAAGACAACATGGCGGCCCATCCCCAACTATCAAAGTCCGTCGATGGAGGCAAGACGTGGAGCGTTCCATCTGTGACGCCGCTTCATATGCAAGGTGCGACAAAGCTGCGGGTTGATGTGGCTACAGGCAAGGTGTACGCAAACGGCGCCTTGTCTTGGGAGTATCCAGCAGCTGTGTCTGTCAGCTCTGACGGTGGCGAGACTTGGGCCGCCTTCAACCAAATCCCCGGTCCCGTCGACGTTTGCCTAGGCTATCAAATTCCTGACCTGCCTCCCATCTGTGGATTTCCCGGCAGATCAATTGCAGTACACGATGGCATTCTGGCTTCGGCTGCGGAGGGCTCAAATGGCCACCCAGAGTTGTATGTGAGCCGTGATGAGGGCGTGACATGGACGACGTCTCCCTTGACTGATAGCCGAGGAAACCTTGTGGCGAACGGCACGGGCCCGATGCTGGCTGTCTCTGGCATTGGTCTCCCCAGTGATCCGACGCCATGGGTATCCGCCGACCCTACCGCAACGGGTTTCGCTCATGGTCCCCCGCGACTTCACGCTAGAGATTTATATCACGGATAACGCGGGTCAGAAATTCACTGGTCCGGCTGTCATTCAAACTCCTGACGCGCAGCGTCCTGCCTTCGACTTCGGCCGAAATGGCCTACTTGGCGTGATGTGGCGCACTAACTCGTCGGGTGTCCTCGACGTTTACTCGACGGTATCCTTTGACGGCGGACGCAACTTTGTCGCACCAATCAGGGTTACGGCGCGGCCACAACCTGTTGTTCAAAATGGACAGCCAGGCGATCGAGCTTCTTTTTGTCTCGCTCACCGATGCGTATGCTTACGTTGCCTGGTCTGACGGCCGCGATGGCCTACTGGACGCTGTTCTTGCTGAGGTACCCCTAGATCACTTTCAAGCCATTGCTTAGGTTACCTACATATCTCAAAGTATCAGAAGTTGCATTATGGCGGCGTTACTTTTGCGCAAATGTGAAGAGGGGTACGTGAATTGGATGAGCGAAATCAGTCTCCTCACACTGGCCGGTATTATCAAACATCACAGGGTTGGTTCCTAGAAAGAGTCAGCTGAAAGCTAAGGCTTGATGATTGCTCTTGAAGCTGTCGAACTCTGGTATGAAGACATCCCATGGCTCTACCGCCTACGCCTCTAGGGTCCTTGAAGCAATCAGTACTCATATAACTATCCATCATATAATATGTATCCGTTTCTATGCCATGTACTCAGGAGTCGCTCATGTGATATACAGAATATTTGTCACAGGATGACTTGTGGTAAACCCGCTTTCCTCCTCCCCTATTCAGCTAGCCAATCAGCCAAGGCAGCCAGCAAGCGGCATCGTTCTCCCCGACCATCCTCCCACTTGTCCCCATCCACAATATCTAACATGGTCTTCATTGGTGGGTCGTTGTCGCTGCCAGGTGCATAACTGGTGATTTGTAAAGTGACCATGCCGTCAAAGGAGGACTGCTTTTCAATCGGCACACCCCCTGTGGTGTTCGTGTTCAACATCTGGGCAACACCACGTCCATCCTTCTTCCATTGAGGCCAAGCAGTGATATTTAAGTCAGCACCGCGCAGTGTTGGGGCTCCGTGAACAATGAAGTCGCCCCATGCGACCTGCAAACCCCGTCGAAGGGGCGCCGGGATGGATGTGTTAGATGTGTTCACATCCGCGAGAAGCACATCAGTGGTACTTCCAGAGCCCACGTCTAGACCATGATACGCAGGCGGTACGCTAAACTGGTATCGCCATGCCTGCCCTCCCGGCTTTGATGCGTATGCGTCTGCGAGCCAGTGCGATGGGCACATGAACGTGGCTTCCGCGTAAAAGTTGTTGGCTACTTGCTGCCAACCCGTGGCATAGTTGGATACGGTTGTGGCGAAAGGCGAGTCAAGGCCATTGGTTTGAAAACCCGGGTCAGTGTTGTTTGCGTCCTTCGAATTCACTGCCAGGAATTCTTCGTGTTTCTGAGTGTACGTCGCAAGAATATCTGTAATGTTGCTTGTCGCCAGCTTGGAAAAGGTCGTCTGCAAGAACGATACAAAGCCTGCCTGGGATGTAATGTTCTGCGGGGTGAAATACGGACCCTCGTCCGCAACATTGCTGGTGAGCAGATTTACGCCGTGGGCCTTGGCCTTCGCAAGTTGATTCGGAGGAATGTCCTTGACGAGTTTCCCATCAATCACTGGGCCCCATGCCCACTGCCCGTAGCGACCCTGTGTACTCACCCAGTCACTCGCATTTTGAAGAGTGACTGAGTCGACGTTTTGCAGGCATGAAAAGATAGAAGTGGAGTCTTTCGCGGTTGTGCACCCAACACGCTCAGCCAGACTTTGGTATTGCTTTGTGGGCCGAGCGCCATCGAATTGACTGCAATGCTTGCTTCAGACAGGTTGCCCCATGCCTCGAAAGTTGAAAAGTAGAAGTATACTTACGGCTGAGTTGCCATGTATGGACTGCTTGCAATCACACCTCTGAACAAACCATCTGCCTCATGCGTCGTAGCTAGATTTAGGATCGCTCCAGCTCCGGCGGATTGTCCAGCTACCGTCACTTTTCTTGAGTCTCCGCCGAACTTGCAGATGTTTTTCTTGACCCAACGAAGCGCATACACCATGTCATGCAAGCCGGCATTAGGAGTGCCGTTGGCCGCAACTTCATCCGATGATAGAAAGCCAAATGCTCCCAGTCGATATTGGATCACGACAGCGATGTAGGTGTTATTGTTGGTCGCAATCTGAGCAGAGAAATCAAACGAAGCCGCCGAGTCAAGGCTGTAACCGCCGCCGTGGATCCAAACGATAACAGGCAGGTTCTTGGCATCTGCAGGGGCAAAGACGTTCAGAAAGAGACAGTCCTCGTCACCTGTGAAATTGAACGATTTCAAAGAGGCTTCCTCGGATGCGGTCTTGGGATACTGCAGAGAACGGCGTGCCCATGGGCAACGGGGCGGATCGGACGTAGCAGGCGTGATCTCACTATTGTTGCCAGACTTGTTGCTGCTTTCTGGTGCCTGAGGTAGTTGCCATCGAAGGGCACCTGTTGGGGCAGCCGCGTATCGAATGCTACATTACGTCAGATTCTGTCTAGATATCAAATATTGCCATGTGATTTCTGTAGCACTTACCCTCGGAAGATGTTGAGATTCAAGGTCGAGTTATGCGTGCCCTGGTATCGGGCGTAGGAAAGATCAACCGTGGGTCGGCTCAAGTCTTCTGCTGCGGCCACAACCGGTAGAAGCGCGATCAGCCCCGTAAAGAGCCTCATGATTTCTTGAATATCCAGAAAGTTCAATTGCAAGAGGTCGGGTTGAAACTTGTCGGGACGTGAGGCGTCTCGTATGCCTAAGCGTAAGTCAAGAAACAAACGTAACAAACAGAGAAGACACCAGCGACGCTCATTGATTACTACCGACCAACAAGTAAGGGACTTGAAATTGAAGAAAGTAGTGGAACTCACAACAGTTATGTCCTCCTTTTGGGACTCGAATGGGGTAGATCATGATTGACGCGTAAATTGACCGAATTAAGTTTAATTACCACCTCGTCCTTACCCCACTAACACAAGGTGAGTGCACTTCTCACGACTCGCGCGATGAACGTTAGACTTTCCGCGGCATATGTCAAGCGGGATTACGTTTGGTCCATAATCCCGACAGTCGTTACATCGCCAATTGGTCGGTGACAAACACCGCAACGCTAACACCGAAAGTCAAAATCGTCTGGGAGCACATCTTTCGGTCGGGTCGGGTGAAGTCTCAGACTTATGTAACAGCGGTCCGCTGCTGAAAGCTGTAGTAAGTCGATAATCTCCCATTGGAACAAGACGAGCGACTATCATCGCGGCAAAACTAGATTGAGGGCGAAAAAATGATGATAATACTCGTGGACGTCTCGGTCGGACGTTCACGGGCGAATCAAACACAAAGATTTAATAAAACATTCCAGAAGTAACAAAAATCAAATAGAAACACGGCAACCGGGGGGGAGTGAAAGACAGTGGGCTTGGGGATGAGTGTTTGATTGAATTAGTGTAGTTCATCGTGTGCAAGGACAGCCCGTGGCTGATCCCTCAGGGTTGGCGCATGTATGATCCCCAATCGCTCGATCGGAAAGCGACACGAAGATATAAACATCGAATCTTGGTAATGTAATGTATCAATTGTGGAGCGATTATCTCCTACTGCGAAGGCCGTAGTTGGTCGGGTGAAAGGCGGCTGAGAGACATCTGACTGAGATAAAAACCAACATGTCGATAAGTGGATCAGGGCGACATACAGACTGCCTAAAACGGATTACACCCTCAACCCAGAATGTAAGCCTTGTCGTGATACTGATAAATTCTGTGCGAGAGTGAACATGGTGTTTCGGGGTCTACAAACCCTTCGTCGGGATACGGCAAGCCGCGTCCATATGCTAGGTTCAGAAATGCACATATCAATCAGAGTCGGTCTTTACAATATGATGTCCAGTTCAGATATTATTCGAGCCCAAAGCAGTGATTGGTGATTGCATGTGCTCTAGACATTGACGATGCTGACTTTCTCAGCCGAGTTTCACACGGTTATAATCATGCTTTTCACGACCGATAACTGGCCAACGGGCCGACAGAGAAAGCTGTTTTTAATCGGATGTCAAGGCCACCTCCACTACTCAGTATTCATAGGTACGCGTCGCAGGAATTTGCAAGTGTCGTGGTAGCGCATAAGCCTGATAATACCACTAAATGTGCTGCAAAGAACGAGAACAAAATGACATCCGCTCAATAGTACCGTAGTCTCGGACTGCCACGATTTGACTTCCTTGAAGCCGTTGAGGCTGACAGAGAATTGAAAACGAAATGTAATTGCGAAATTCGCAACAGGGTCCGGTTGTTGATCATGTCGCCTGGCGTGAATTGTTTTAGTATCCACGAGATTAGAAAAATCATAATTGATTGCTTCGTGGCGGAGAAAGACAGCTTGCTTGGGTCGAAGTTAAGTGGGTATTGACGATCATTCAAGATTCAAGACACGGTTACCAAGATGGTAATTGTGGCGAGTGTCAACGCAGTCCGTGTGTCTGCCCAGGAAACAATCGCATTCACTCCATCGGAAAAGCCTAAATTTAAGCTTGGTGAGCAATCTGTAGTGGCTTACATGATGCTTTTCAATCATTTTGTAGACGAACACTTCAGACGAAGTCGACTGGGACGGACTACTCCTATCCTTTCGCTGTGTTCCGGGTGTAAAAGGATACTGTGGGGCGCCGAAACACCGCGCTGCTCAACGTTGACGTTCGGACTTGTCTACCAGTATCGCCAAGTGGTCAATGGTTATCCCGCCGGCGCTACCCCGCGGATCTGTTTTCATCCACCAATCCCAATGAAGGTTTTGCGACAAAAAGTCAAACATAGAAATTCGTTGCGTAAATGAGTCTTGCTGCAACGCCTATGGTATCGTGAATACGTTTTGTCCACCTGGGCAAGGCCGGGAAACAACCGGAAATCCCTAACTTGAGGCACACCAAGGTGGACAACAAGAAGTCATTCCAAAACATTTATTGGACCGATAGCGTGAAGCATGACGGGATTGCCGACGCCTGTCGGCTTTGTACTGGTATATGATACTATGGAGGCACCATCTACACCTCTTCAGAAAATTAAACACAACATACCATCGACAACATTGGCTAGAGGACGGTTATCATGGCATTTCATTCAAAGTCGGCTGCCTTGGCCGACATCGCGCGGGTCGCGTTTGTCGTCATGTCCTGTCTTTCTGCCGCGGCTGCTCAGCAGCTGGTCCAAGTAATGCTGGACGATGGGCCTTACTCTGGAGTCACAATGGCCGGGGTCAACAAGTTTCTAGGGGTTCGATATGCTGCCCCTCCTGAACGATTCGCACCTCCAGCTCCTGCATCTATGACGCCCCACAGCGATGCGAAGGACGCGACCAAATTTGCTCCTTCTTGTATACAAGCTATTCCAGGTAAGGTGCCCTTGTGGGAGGGGGGGTCACAGCACTTTACTAATTCTAAAACAGCTCCCATTGCCGCCCAGATGGGCAATATGGGTCCGCAAAGCGAAGATTGTTTGTTTGTGAACGTCTTCGCCCCGTCGTCTCCGCCACCTCCCGAAGGAAGAACTGTAATGGTGTGGTATTACGGCGGAGGCTTCCAATTCGGTAGCGCCAATACTCCCATGTTTGACGGTTCAAGCTTCGCCCAGAACCAGGATGTGATTGTCGTAACTCCTAATTATCGCACAAGTGGTTAGTTCTTCTTCTCCAGTAAGCTCTCCTGAAGTGGAATCTGTAATGACTTTTCTCTCTATAAACAGTCTTTGGGTTTCCGGGAAGCGTTGAAGGAATTCCTCCTCGGGCACGTAATGTTGGCCGTGAGTCTATGTCTCTCCTTTCCTCAAATGCATTTGCTAACTAAGAAAAACGTCATGGACCAGAAGCTTGCTCTTCAGTGGGTTCAACGAAATATCAAAGCGTTCGGAGGCGATCCCAAGAAGGTCACCGTCTTTGGTGAATCTGCCGGTGGAGCCTCCGTTGATCTGCTCCTCCTGACCAGCGGCATGAACCCCCCTTTCCGAGCAGCGATAACGGAATCCGGAACCTCGTACCTTGTCACAGCGCCACAAGCCGGTGGAGACATTGTTGGGTTGATGGCGGGCATCAATACGGGTGCGAGCATGCCAGGGAACTCTTTCAAAACTCTGGCCAAGGCTTTGAACTGCAATGGAGGCCAGGCCCTCGCTTGTGTTAAGGCAGCACCTGTGGATGCTGTTGCCTCCGTGATCTCGAACGGACCCTTCAACTTCCCGCCGGTTGCCGACGGTGACACGAACGTTCCTAACTCTCCCGACGCTACACGATCCGCCGGTCGGGTCCCCAAGATACCACTGATGCTTGGCACCAACCTGAAAGAGGCTGACATCTTCACCATGATGAGGCCCCCACAGCCAGTGAATGCCTTCGTTGCAGCAACTTTTCCTGGCGATACAGCATTGCAACAGGCAATTGTCTCTGCGTACCCTATCGGGGCAGGTACTCCATTCGCAACGGAAAAGGATGCCATAACTCAGATAGCTACGGACCTGGATTGGACTTGCAGCATTAGCCATGAGGCCCGTATATCCGCGCAGGCAGGCGTTCCAACGTGGAGATACTTGTTCAATTCCACCTCCTTCCCTCCAACTCCCGGAGGCATTCTTTCACGCCCAGTGCACGGCTCCGAGATCAGCTTCGTGTTTGGAAACCTACCTCCACCCCCAGCGACGCCCGATCAGGCAGCTGCGCTCAGCAAATTCATGCAGACAGCATGGGCTAGCTTTGCGAAGAACCCAGCCAACGGGCCTGGTGTTCAAACTTGGACACCACACACTGGCATGCCAGGAGCCATGGACGTGGCTAATCTGGGTGGGGTTGTTGGAAATGGGGTGGCCATGGTAGATCCGCGCACAGTTGATAGTCGGTGTAACCTCTTCGATAAGGCGTACGCTGCCGCCATGACGCCGTCTTGAAGTTCTATAATCAATCAACCGCTTGAATCTCAAGCATTATTTCTTTCATTAAGTGAACATCCCTACAACACGAAATTGTGCTAGGACTGTAGCTATAGACTAAAGCAGAGTCCCTTGTGTCAGTTCAATCACTTCGCAGCCATGTCCAAAGAGAACTCCTCTATGGGGCTGGGTCTATAATGTCTGTGAATGACACTTATCCGTCATTCGAGGGCGTGGCGCTGATTAAAACATCAGAGAAGCAGAAGGCCACCTCCCTCGCAGAGTAGTCTAACTGGAGTTGTCTGCACACAATGCGAGTGATAATATTTAGCATTATGCGGACGACATGATGGGGGTATGTGTGAGGTTTGAGTCGGTAAAGGCTTCCCAATAATTCATCAGTTTCAGCTTGGGTTACGAATTTCCAGTACGTAGATGAGGTATTTACTTCGAAATTAGCGCATGAGACACCGCACTCACGGCGACTGCTGAGCAAGCCTGGCTTCTCTGGCACTATTGTGATGATCATTCGGTTACTATCCTGCAAAATAAGTTTCTACTTGTGTTGATAACTCCCGAATGCACTTCAAGCCACGGAAAAAATACATCTAAGTTGTCTTTACCCAAGGTCAAAATTACTTAGCACAGCTGAGTGCCTGAAACACCCCATGAAGCTTGCCTCCAAGCCTCGTCCAAAGAGGACCCGCTTGAATACCCTTCCAGGAACGCTGGCGATCACCAGAAGCAAAGCCTCCCGGCGTCTGTACCGCGGATAGCCCCGCCTGCAGGTCCTCTGCATGTTCCAGCAGCTTCTTCTCGAACGTCTTGGAATATCCAATCAATGAAGAACGAATGCAATGCAAGTCGTCTCCAGACTCCAGACCGTGCTTTTCAAGGAACAGGTCGTCATCCTCCTCTTCCAGAAGGCGAAGGTGCACGAGGATCAAGTCTTTCAACTCGACGAGAACACCACAATCGGCACAAGATGGATACAGCTGGCGTTCGGCCTCCGAGAAGTCGCGGCAGAGAGCATGACCGGGACTGTTGGTGTGCGGCCCGCAACGCCCGTACGCGTGGTTCAGCTTGGCATGCCAAATGGTACGAACGCAGAACTCGTCGTCCGAAACGACAGAGCAACTGTGCCCGAGCTTGCAGGCTCGATGAGCGGGGTCCGCGATCGTCCACTGTGGGGTGTTCTTGAACTTGGCTAGATTTGCCATCGTTGGGAGAACATCGGCAACACAGGACTCACCACAATCACTGTGGCAGAGTACGTTGCTGTGCAGGTGGGCTACCTCGATGATATGAAGAGCCATGCTGAAATTCGATGTGCGGGATGTCCAAAGGACTTGGTGAAATGAGGTCCGGAGAGATGTTCGTCTAATAACGAAGGACGAATGCGGGATTCTAAGCCCTGCGGAAGGCTGGATTTTTGAAATTGATGATGGTAGACCAAGAGTCAAACCCATTGAGGACAGGTAACAATCTCATTTTATACAAAGAAGCCAGGATTGAGATAAAAACGCTGAAAAGGGAATCCTCATCGTTGACACGGACGCACCTGGTATGTTTGCTGTTTCTAGCGTTCTTCATATTGCACAGCGAATCGAGACGGTCACTTGGGCTCGAGCTTGTTTCTCTCCTACGTAACAGAGGGCCATGGTGGTGTGGAGCAAGACGAGGAGATACCGTCATAACTTGTCAGAATGAGAATCCGCTGACCCCTGCACACTGGGTATGCATTGGTCCAATCAATACTAACAGAACTACTTCCCCGAAACCCACCAACCAAAGCCTTGTCGACAAGGGTTCAGCGGATTCTCATTCTGACAAGTTATGACGGTATACCCGCCGTTCAAGTGGCTCTAGCGCCAGCGCATCTTGCCCAAACCAGGGGCATTTTGATCTATGTTCAGCGGGGGCTGCATTTCACATCCCAGCAAATACCACCCTTGCCTAGCACAACCATCAGGGCGGGCTCCGAACGCCGAAACACCCTTGTCATTCAAAAAGACACACGACATTGAGCCATGAAACTGAGGGGTTGGGAGCTAACGAGCGTTCAGATCGATGAGATGACTTCAAGCCCTACCATGGATGGGGTAATGGGTCGAGTGATTGGTAGACAGGATGCTCATCGAAAGCTGGTCAAGTGTCGCATTAAACTCCCGGGACACGTTTCAACAGTTTCCGGAAAGCTGAAGGCTCACAGAAAAGAGTTGCTCGTAGACTCCTGTTTGCAATTGTGAGCATTATTCTAGTTGCCTCGTATGATAACATGCGCAGAACCCAACATCTTGCAACCGTACTTGTGCAAGTCTACTGCCTCATTGCAGATGCCACTTTTATTTCGAGGCGGGGAGTCAATGCAACGACGAATGCGCCGTCCGTTTACCAACTAGCTCACAGGTTCCATTACATGCGCCGTGGGCCACGACACGTTGACACCGTCACTGGTAGCTTGTGATAGGTGCTCTACTCGGATGCACAAGTGCCAAAGAGGGTACTTCCAACCCTGGCCATCCTGCAAGGTTATGTTTTGTTGTCTCTTAGCCGAAGTAGTTGGTCACGGATTCCAACGATGACAGACCGTCCTGCCAAAAGAAAGCGTCTCCTGGCTGGTGAAACCAGAAAATGGACCTGTTACTTCTACTTATCCTGGTCGAAAGTGGCACTGACAACGTACGGATATACGATATTATTCCGGCCAAAAGTGACACTTGCTGCAGGTGATATGTCATATCCCAATAGATATTACGCGGGAGCGTGGTGGGAGCCGGAGCATGCTCAGCACCCAAGACCACTAAGGCATGCAACCGCATCCAAATGCGTGACAGACGTGATAAGGTTGGGCCCACCACCTCTACCACGGATCGTCAGTAGATGAAGACGTTCAAGGTACTAGATCAAAGATTGAGGCGTTCTATGTGATGATAGACTGCCACTGCTGCGGACACTAGCTGTTGAGGCCTGCTTCCGGCCGAGAGAGCATGCAGATACTTCCTGTTCCCTCATCCTACTTAGTGCGGATCAGTGCTCATAACACGGAGGCTAGTTGAAGTTTTCTGATGAAACGCTCCAACATCACTCATAATCCGAACCGTACCCTCGCAGAGGCATTTTTGAAGAGTTGTGCGAGATCGCATTTACAAGGAGCCTTGTTCGCAGTACGGAAGAAGAATGACAAGGGTAGTCACAGCGAAATCCCAGCGGTAGGGATCATGTAGGTTCTGGCTTGTCTAGTGTTGTTATCTCTTCTCACTAGGACGTATCTGAATAACAGCCACCACTCCTTACGCCTCTCCCTAGAGGCACTCCGCACCCACGCACGCAATTGAAATGAAACCATAATCGATCGATTCACGGCGCTGAGCTCCAAGGACTTTTGATCATTCAGACTTCGGAATGGGCCTCTCTTGGTGTGCCCGTAATCGGCGTCGCTCTCATGACGCCAGCCCGGGCCGCGGTGGTGGAAACCCCGGCTGCAGGTATCAGCACTCACCCAAAAAAGCCCATCTACATATGCTCCCTGCAGGAAACCGTCGGAAGGGTGACGGAACAGTAGAAGGCGGCACACAGCATGCAACGCGCTACTTTTGGAACATAGATCTTTGCATCGGCACCGACGTCCGGGCTTGGCCCACTCCGATTCGTGTTCCAGCCACCAGACCCCAACGAGATTGGCGTGAGGGGTTTGAGAAAGATGATGGAAATCACACCTTTTGCAGGACTGCCAAAGTGTGAGTCGAAGTGGAGGGAACCGTTGGCATGGGGCGCCCCATCTGCGCAATTTTGTGTCCCCGAAGGTCTGGGTACTGAACCCGCGACTAGCCTGGAACTTGGCTTGATAAGATTGCTTTAGTTGGTTTTTCAAACGGGCGGCTATAGCGTGACCATTATTTCACCGCTGCCTTAGCCAGGTTTTTGCGTGGCTCGAAACATGAAGCTAGGATTCTCCATTGAGGTCCGACATATCGGCATCCAGTTTCTCCTCAGGTCAGAAAAAGAGCCATAGATAAATTGGACTCAAGTTGCATTATCGACGAGCTGGCCATGATGTCTCGATAGTGGGGTTTAAGACAGGGGTCAAATGACGCGAAGAGGCGCAATGGGAATATGGACATGGAGGTGGTCCAGTTTCGAGATCAAGACAAAGAGGTCAACCTCGTGAGGCTTAGTCGGGCACAGATACATTCGAGCCCTCTGAACAACTGTTCTCTCGGTCTTTTACTTTCCTGATGTCTCTCGGAAACACCGACTTTTGATCGTCTCAATCGTCTGAGTGGAGAGGACGGAGTGACGGGTCATATGTGAGGTGTCATAATTCCTTGCGGGGTCCTGTGGGTCTCACACATCGCCAAGGCCTCGGAGGATTGATCCCAAGGCCCTCCTTTGCAACGGAATCAACCACGAGAGGTTGTTTCTTTTTCGTGTTTTCCACGGTTCATTTTGGCCATGGTGTCGGTCCGGTCTGCCTTGACCGGAGAACGAGGGCATTTCCTGCCCATGCATGCTGCAACTAGTGCCGCGACCCTCACCTTGTTGCCTGCCGGCTTTCGTTCCTGACGATAAGCTCCTCCATGGCGGCCAGGCGCAGTCCGCCTCCCAGGATGTGAGAGATAGAGCAGGGATTATGGGTATCCTGCACCACTTGAGTCGAGCGCCGCGGATTTTGTTTTCCCTCGCCATCGCGCTGACTCCCCTATCTCTTCTAGCGGAAGCGACAACAAGGCTAGCAAGGATGACCACGCCAAACGGCTACAGACACGCGGAATGACCCTGACAACTAGATTTTCAAGTTTCAGCTGATGGTGTCTCCATGGCCTTTGCCGTGACACAAGGTATGCCCTTTTGACATCAGTTGTGGTACACACCTACAAGGGAAGGGGGGCTGAGTGACTGCACCTGGCCGAGGCATTTCCCCGCGATCTTGATCAGCAAGATCTCACTCACATGGTCATCGGCACTCATGGAGGTTGCATCATTACCCGCAGGTATGGCAGTCGGGTACACATTGGAATCGCCAAGTTTTCAAAACTGGTTTGTTGTATGGAGTTGGTAGCCTGTGGCTTGACTTGTGGCTGTGTATTTTCGACAAAGGCATCTTCGGACATGATTCTGGAGGATTCAAGTTGCGTGCATGACCCGGCCAGCGATTCGGAATTCAGACTTGGCTCCAAAACCGTTCAAGGTGTTGGGCGGAAGTAAAAGTCACAGTCGCGTTGCTTGAAGTCAACTACGCCTCAATACATGATAATCTAGGTACTCAGTTTTATCTATTCATCCGCATCCCAATGCAAAAACCCTCATCAACCCAAGCAGCTCGTCACAAAGAAGTTTTGAACGCATCGAAAGCCTCGTTCTCGGCAAGCAGATCAGCATACGCTTTCTCAGCCGCCTCAAGCTCGGCTTTCTTGCCGTTGACAACGACTCTGTGGTGGTCCATCTCCTCCTGCGCAACTCTCTGTGCCTTCTTGGCCTTTGCAGCATCTGTCTCCATGGCCACGGCCTCGGCCTCAATGCGGTGGTTGAGGATCTCGAAAATAGTGCGGCAAGACTCCTGCACGACCTGTCTGTGTCCGTCAGGGGCAATCGCCGTCGACACGGCTGCCTTGCTGTTGCCGAGGAGAATGGCATACTTCTTGCGAATCTTGAAGATGTCGTTCTGAAAGGCTCGAAAGCCCTCGAGCTCTGTGAGCTTCTCGGACTCGGTCGGCAAACTAGCAAGGGCGCGGGCGGCCTCCCGCTCGTGTTTCTCGGCCATCTGCTGCTCGAATCGAGTCTTCTTGACAGTGGCCGACGCAATATCAACCTCCAGACGAACACGCTTTCTCTGGCTTTCCAGCTCTTCGTCTAGGCATGCCATCATGGCGTCTCTCTTGCGCTTGAAGCCGTCTGCAGCTGTCATTTCGTTCGAAGGGGATGATGCGGGAGTGCTAGGGTCAAGTCTGCCAGAGCCTCTAGGGAACGATGCGGGTAACACAGAGTTCGGGGTCACTAGCGCAGGAAACCTGGCCGGACGATGATCGGTGATACCGGGAGAAGGACTCGTGTCTGCCTGAGACTGGTGGCAACTAGTCAGCTGTTGTTCCCGTCAGAGTACACTGTACTGATGACACCATCTGGTTGAATGTCAACATACCTTAGGCGACGGAGTGCGAGGAGATGGCAATGCAGGGGCGCGGGCTTGCAACATCCTCCGCGCATGCTTGCAACTGTCAGTGTCTCGACCGCCCTAAGCCGCAAAGCAATTAGCAAGGCAGAAGCTCCAAAGACCATGTTTGATCTTCGAACTTTAAGAAGGGACATACCTGGGTCTTTCCAACGTTGTCAACGTCCATTGCGGAAAGGAATGGGCGGTGCAGGAAACCGTTTGACGGAGTATTGCCGACTCGGTGCGTGATCTCTTCCCTGAGCAGACCGCGGACGTCGGTATGGCTGAGATTGTGCTCGCAAAGCAGGTCGAGACTTTTGAGCAAGCTCAAACTCCACAGCGAGGGCGAGAGAGAGCTGCCGACGACGTCGTCCAAGCTGGAGATGTTCCACGTCTTTAGGATTCTTTCGGTGCATTCAGCCTTTTCGGCAGCGGTGTTGGACGGCGTTTGCATAGTGGGGACCCGTCTCAAGAGTGATTGGCTGACTGAGAAGAGCCAGCGGAATGGTCCGTGGGAGATGCTCATGGAATCTGATTGAGGTGTTCGCTCTGGCGGGAAAAGTTGGAAGCGGATGGCGGAGAGGAAAGGCCTAAAGCAAAACTTCTGAAGTGCTGGAAATCACGGGGTTGAAGAAGAACAGCCGGATATTGGAAGGGTGATGTATCTTTTCAGCTGCGTGGTGATCATAAATGACTTCATCCCATAACCTGGCGCTTCACCATTGAAGAAGATAGCTTGTCTGAGTTACTCAAAAAGACGCGTTTCGCGTTGGCGCCTGGCCTGAGGCCACTGAGAAACACATGCGCGCATCAATGGGTTCCGACTTAACCAACGGGATCTCTTTGAAAATGCCGTACGAAATGTCCCGGGCATCTACATTTTGATCTTGGACAGAACGGGGCATCCAAACCTGCGTCCGTTTGAAGGTGGGGCTTGTTTGCGAGTAAGACCGCAAAGGTGCGAGGCTTGTTGAGAAGGGCATCCTCCAATACGGGTCCTAGATCGTCTTCTTCAACAGAGTAGAAAGTGTAACGGCGGGGGAAGCAACAGCAGATACGTGTCAACGCGAAGGCTTGACCCTATCCGTCACGGCCGGGTGGCCCACCGCAGGCCGGTCTCTTTTCTCGGAGGAGTGGGGCCGGTCGCAAAGCCGCAAGTGATCGGCGCCCGCCGATATCCCGGCTTTGTGAGGATGAGAATGGAAAGGCCACGCCAAAAAGCCGACCATATACGGGGATCTGTGGCCTGAGATTGAGACGTTTGAACCGTGTGGCTGGCTGATGGGTGTCAGGGTGTCTGCAATGTGAGTGAGAAAGCATCGGCGATCCCAGGCCTGGGTGTCTCGGATGTTGTCCCGCTCTTCCGCACCCCTCTGCCGTAACGTAGGTCGGGTATTTTGGGGGCGGCAGCGGCTCAGTCACCGCCAGACGGGGTTTATGATAATTCCTGCTCAATATGCATGGGGGAGACATCAAGTGGGCACAGCGCTAAATCAGCCGGAGCACCCGACGAGCGGTTCGCTATGCAACAAGCTCTTGTGGGAGGGAAGCCCTGGTGACTAGTTGCACGTTCCAGCAACGTCTTCCCGTCGCCGCCAGAGATGTTCCTTTGCTGTTTCGGAGCAAACAGAATGACTACAGCAAGTCTCACTCCCTGCCCAACAAATGCGCTGCAGCCGTGATTGGACGCCACAGAGGAAAAGCCCCAGCACATTCATCTACTTACCGAAACACCCCAAGCACAGCTGAGCAGCAAAAAGAAACGAGGCTTTCCGACGAATGATGCGCGGGATGGGATGGGATGGGATGGGCATCCACCGCCACGGCCTCCCCTCGGGCCTCCAAAAGCAAGTTGAGCCACCATCATCACCACCACACCATCACCACAACCAGCACCACCCACCCACCACGAAGAAACAGCCACGCCGCGAGGAGGAAAGGCGCAAGAGATAACGCCTCGGGGCATTTTGGAAGAGGCAACCACAGCTGATGTATGTATGTAGATGTATGTAGGTATGCGTTGCCTCCGTTACATTCCATCCCGCGGCGGAGTCAATCTTGCTGCTGAACCCCGCACCCAGTTCTAGTTCTCCCCGTGTCCCCCTTGTTCCTTGATTGAAGCTCCCCCCCGACGACGCCGTCAAGCCATCTCTTCCCAGTCATCCCAGTCATCCCATTTCCATCTGCGGAAATATGACAGGGAGGGCTGTTGACCGCGGGACCGGCCCGGACCTCGAATCGGCGGTCATCCTGCACATCGGTCACCAGGCGAGCGGATGAGGTCCCCATCCCCTCGACCCCCTGCACGCCAATCCTCCCCCGATGCTCGTTACTGGCTCGCCGAGGCCCCCCGATGCAGATGGTCATTCGCAAAAACGTATCGCTACATGTTTAGCAATGTCTCATTCGCTTCTGCCCTTCGACCGTCTTTTTTTTTTTTTTCTGCCCTTTCCTTTTCTCTTCCTTGAGAATCGAGGGCTCTGCCAACTTTCCCCCTTCTTCCTTTCTTCCCTTCTCACCCTCTCTTCCGAGCTCGAGGATGCGGCATCCGTCTTCTGGGGGAGACAACACTGTCGCTATCGGGCACCGCCAAGCTTTCCTCCTCGTCGTCGTCGTCGTCGCATGCGACCGGTAATTACTTTTCACCATAAAAGGTCCTCCCGTCAGCATGACCACGAGCCGCCAGACTGCATTACCGCCGCGCACGACCTAGATGTCCTCGTCATCACCCATGCTCACCATCCCGCATCACCCCGCGCGCTCCGCCAAAGATGCCGCCGCCGCCGTCTCCATCGAGCCGCCGTGTCCCAGCTGCACCCTGCGCTCGCGCCAGACACAGCCCTACACCACGCCCACCCCGGGCCACCCAGACTACTGGATCGAGAAGCTTATCCACCTCGTGCTCGACACCGTCCCTGGAATGGAGGAGAAGATGACCGAGAGACACGCCGAGCGCAACCAGATCCTGAGACTCGTGAGGACGTTTTGCGGCGTGGAGGTGGGCACGAGGTTATGTCCTCACTGTTGGCAGTCGAGTCCGGAATGGGAGGCCAGGGTCTAGTCGGCGCACGAGTAGGTATCATACCTAAAGACTATCATGAGAGGTTGAGAGCTGACCATGGTCGTGTGGCAGTTTCAAGCGAAGAAGAAGACGAGGCAGCAAACCACCAAGACGTGGCTCTCATACAGTGTACACAAATATCCAACTAGGCGAGCAATACCCAGAAACGAATGCATGCACATCTACATGCCTCTGCAACCGATAGAAAGACTCAGTATCGTCTCAAGGACTGGGTGGTGGCGTGCTGTGGTAATCAGTCCTGATAGGAGACGGAAGTTGGAGAACAGAACAGTGCAACAAGCAGGGATGCGCCAGGTGTCCCTCATCCCCGCTCCTGCCTCGTTGCGTCTGTGATACCGCCAGCAAATAGAGGAAGGCCCTCTCCGTAAATGGAATCGCAGTCGAAGATAGTGCTCTGACATGTAACGACCTCGAACTGCAGACAGGGTGGCACGTACTTGGGTATTGGGTTCCTTCACCGCTCTGCCATGAGCTTGCACAACCCCGGGCATCTAGTCAAACCATCAATCTCTGACTTGAAGACTTTGTGGCGGACCGAGAATGCAGACCATCGTGTCTTGAAGCTATCTAGAAGTCTTGTTCGTCTAACACCCGCTCAGTACGATTCTCCAACAGGCGTGGGACTCTCCGAGGGCTCTCACTTATTGCCCAAATAGCCCGAGTACAAGTCGTTGCAAACCAGCCATTGCATTCTCAATCTCATTGCCAAATTCCGAGACCACATTAACGTCTCTTTTCCATCAACTTGGAGATGTCCTTCATTCCTTTTGCAACCTCTTTCGCCAGTCGTTGCAACTCAGCTTCGTCGGTTAGACGTGCCACATCTGCTCTCATAACCTCAACGGTGGTAGACAGTCGCTCTACCTCCTCCCGTGCTTCCACCTCCAAGACCTCTCGCGTTCGCTCTGCCGTAGCAAGAAGAGGCGCCCAAATTTCGCCCCTCCGTCTGCCAATGCCGGCAGCATCTCCTTCGTTTTGGCCAGGGGTGGCAACTGCAATGAGCTGGTCAATAGCCTCAAGTTGTCGATGAACCTCGTCGTGCTTTTGCTGAGCAAGTTTCAAACTTTCTTCCGACCGACGAAGCTCCTTCTCGCAATCTTCCAATTCCGCAAATTTGTTTCCGGCGTTGCACTCACCTCCAGCTGGTGCAAAGGAGGACCATCTACTGAGCGTCTCGTCGAATGCTTCTCGAGTGAAGGCCTTGTCTATGCCGATGTTTCGTCGGCTCCCCTGCATCGATGATATGCTGTCCTGATCTGCTTCGGGTGTGATAATTCTTCGGGGTCTTGGACGTCGTCTCATTGATACCGGGGAATCATCCTCGGATGAGGAACCGAGTTGTTCAGATCGTCTCTTTGCCTGGCTGTGCTGGGATACGGCGACTTGTGTGTTCAGAGCCCTTGGTGAGAGTTTCGCGACAATGCCATTGAGCCTGGACGTTTGAACTGGTGATGGCGACGAAGACGTATCGGTTGCTTCAGTTTTTATTCGGACTGCGGTCGTACTAGTTGTCGACAAACCGCTAGATTGGGCATCGATGTTGCGGTGAGCACCGAGGTTGTCAATTCTGAAGGCAAGAGGGGAGACATCGCCGGAAGTCGATCCGTCGGAGTAGGAGTCGGATTCAGATTCGGACGGCTCCAATTCGGATTCGGACGGCTCCGACTTCACGTTGTGTCTAAGCTCTGAGACAGTATGATCATGTTGGCTCGCAGAGACCTCGGTGGGGATGTCTCTATGATTGGAGGTGTGGGTGTTTCGCGGGTTCCGGCCTTGCTGGTACAAGCTAGGTATTCCCAGCCTGCGGTTGATCTCTTCGAAGACTTTGGTTGAGAGTTTCTGTTTATCGCGATTTGAGACAGCTTCAAACAGCCATCCTCCTTCTTTCCAAAGCGATGCGAGTTGTAGATTGTTGTCCTGGGCAATTTTCGAGACGTGGTAGAATAGGTGAACCCATTGGTGATTGAGGGTTTCGAACTTTCTCTTCGATGATCTGCTTCGGTACCTGCTAGGAAACATGGCATCGAATGTTCCCCATGCCTGCTTGAGGTAGGTACGGTAGGTCTCCGTCTTTCTTTTCTGCTTCCGCCTCTGACTGCTACTGAGGATATTGTGGCTCTCCCTCGATCTAACCCGACTTGGCACCTGCGACCCGCCGATGGCAACTGGGCAGAGAGTCGGCATGTCGAGTTGTTGTGTAGACTTTCAGAGATGGCGTGGGAGGGAAAACTTGACAAGCTGAAAAGCGAGAGCAAATAAAGTGCTTGGTGGTGGGCGATGGTCTTTGGGTAGGTTGTGTGAAAAGTTTGGATTCAGCCCCGCGCTTGGAGTCTCGAAGAATCAAGACAAAATTTCCTGGGGGTGAGATTTGGTGCTGGGTAGCCACGTTTGGCAGTTGCGACAGGTTGATCGCGGCTGCCAGAAAAAGGGTCAGGACTCCAGGACTCCAGTTTTGTTAGGACGAAGTTCTTACAGAATGGCAGGTACTTGCTGCAACCCCAAGTTGCTTGAAGATTGGCAGAGGAAAGAACATCAGCGAGAAATTTAGATCAAAGAACTGATGACATGACATGGTCCATCCCCAAAAGAAGACAGTTTCTTAGGTGACGATATTTTCCGAGGAGAATAATTTATTTACACTAGATAACAATTCACAAACAACAGCATGGCTATTAGATTTCCACTGCAAAATGACAAAACTAGAAACTACAGAAAAGGATTTCTAACGAAAAAAAAGAGTTCTTGCCTTCATCATTACAAACGCCGCAGCCTAAAACCGCTTGGTGTAACAAAAGCTTCCAAGGTTGGCCGACTTTCGCGGAACATGCAAACAAAAAGACGGACTCCTCGGCTTGAAAAAGGCTGCCAGTATTCTACGAAGCGGTGACCAAGATCTGCCTCGATCATGCTCAATTTCGGTATGCCAGGGCCAGTCATTGAAAAGGTGCCGTCAGGAGCTAGCTGCGCATTCTGGAGTAGCAGGGGCAGGTCGAACCTCTCCACCACCAAAGTAATATCTTGGAAACTGCTAAAAGTAGACAAGGGCTGGTTGCTGGTAGTTCCGCGGGCAAGAGCCCTTGAAAAGCACGAGACGTCCATCTCAAGATGATGGACAGTTGTTAGGAGCTCCCCTGGCTGGATCAGTGGTGTCGATAGGTCGACCGATGGAAAAGGTGCCGGGGTAAATATAGACCATCCCGGACTAAAAGTGTCGACCGTTGGAAGGACCAGTGCGACTGAATCTCGTCTCCAGCCGCCAATGAATGGAAGGCGCCCTGATCTTCTCTGGAAAATCCTATTGAAAAGTTTACAGGCTTGGAGAGGTCCGTGGATCATCAACATTCGCCGTCTGACCTCCCCCAAATGAGGCAAAACAAGATTGCTGAAAGTGCTTAGCGGCGCTTGGCCGGTGGTTGCGAAGTTTCTCCTGTCATACTCGACAGGCCATCTAATTGGCACCGCTTCTTCCTCGACTATATCAATCATGGCATGGACGATGAGAATCACGATCTCCAAGGGCATGTCTCGGGGGCCCAATCTGCCGGTAGTGTTATTTAGTTGAAGGCGCTGACGGTTGAATATCCGGGATGATCTTCGACGGACGCCATTATTAGGCATTTTTGTTGCTTTTGGTGAGATGTAGTGTGTTTATAGCGATTTCCTTCTTATGTGATGCTCTGACGACTGGGGCTGGATGATTCCAATAATGGCTCCGCTGGGTAAGGTAGGCCTGCTACAGTAGTCTGGGAGTTAGGAGAGGGCGCGAATGAATCAGGAAGTTGAGTCTTAAAGATTTTGAAGATGACGACGATGATGATGATGGCTGCAGTGAGTGCTGGGTATTCTGAGATTTATCACGGTAACATGGTCGACTGCAATTTATGATGTCCTTCGGATGGAGGGCAACCCAGCGAAATGCTAAGACAGAGTTGACACAATGGATTGTTTCTATCAAAGAATGCACTGATGTGTTATCGCAAATCACATGTTTCCGCTCACCACATATGAATAAAAGAGACTTGATCTCTGCCTACCATCTGTCTCTGCCTTTGACGTCGCACGCCTCCTATGGAACAAAGGTGACCAATTGGCATCCCGAGCAGACTCGAATCTGAATGTTCGGGCGAATAACGCTGCTCACAGCCAAATCAAGATTGCAGGATTACTTTTGGAAGGCATAGCCTTAATACTACCGTATGCAGAAATGGCTTTCCCGCTCACTCCCTTGGCGTGGGCAGGCGAGAATCAACGCTTACTTTGGTCATGGGAATCAAACCAACCCTTTCGTAGGACAAGACATGAATTTGACATTGTCAGAAGGTTAGCTCTGGATTTGGTACCTGTTGCCACTCACCCAGCTAGAGTATGACCTTGTGTTAATAATCTACCAAGATGGTCGTGGACCGTCAAGTGATGCGGACTTGGGAGTCCGGCTGTGAGGTCTTTCTTTCGCTGAGTTGGGTGTTTAACACTGTGTCTGGGGCGACCTTTGCGACCACCCTCACAGTGCTTCCTCCGCCCCAAACAGTGCAGACCTTTTAAACAGCAGGTGCCGTCGACAGCTCCTTCTCTTTCCATCACCATCCCGCAACTCAATCTTCTCGACCTGTTCAACTCTCGATCAACTTTCTACTCTCATTCCCTCAATCTAACTTCACTATCTACTACTTTCTCTCGACTCACAAGTCACGACCGCCGCCATGTCGGACAACTCCCTCCATCTCGTCGACCTCAGCCGCAACTCTTGCGTTGATGCGGAGCAGGAAGATGACTTTGTCTTCTTCGACCGACCTGACACTGCCATGGACTGGGATATCGTCGATGCTCAGAACAATGAGTACGTCCTCTAGAACAATTCGCCTTGAGCTGGTGTACTAATCATGAGTCCCGCCAGTGCCGAGGAGATTTGCCAGGACAGCGGCATGGACAGCAACTTCGTTGACGGCGATAGCTGCGGGGAGATTGACGCCGAGTCTGAGATTGAGAAGAAGTGAGTTGTTTCCTTGCATGCACTCATTTTCCCAGTACGGAACCCGTTGCTGTCAAGTGCCCAACGACTAACTGCCCATCAGCAATGAATTCTTGACAACCTATGAGACCTGCGGAGTTACCTCGTGGAACAACGGCACCAATCGGTGCAAGAATGAAGATGATACCTGGATCACGGAGATGGAGATGGACCTTGACAACTTATCTATTCACTCTGGCCTTTGGCATGCCACAAAGTGTGTCAATATACCGTCGCCAGCCCCCGATCCCAACCATGAGTACTCCGAGCTCCTTGGTGCTACCGAAGGTGCAAAGAGCACCGGCACTAGACCCTCGATCCCCATCTTCTTTCTAGAGGAATGCGAGTTGGGCAACGCTCAATCGTTTTACGCCGACAACGACGTCACACACACCGAGCAGGCCGCGACCAAGGACAAGTCTCCCTCTCCAAGCAGTCCAAGCAGAATCCCACGCTTGATCAAGAACATGAGCCCGTCGAGCAACACCGATGTCTCGCCCAAGATTCTGGGAGAATTCAAGACTTGCTCGTACTCATACTTTGCCGGACATCGGGCGCTTCGTCGGGCGCTTCCTCCTCCATCTGGCGGAAGGGCCACGTATAGAAGGTGCGAGGCCTGTCTCTGAGAGCCATCCACGGAACTACATGTCAGCTGAGGGCGCAAGAAGCTTGCTGCTTTTAAGTGGTCGGAGTTTACCCCTGCGATTCTTGTCTGGAATCACACGTACGAATGTTGGTACGGCACTGTCAGGGTCAATGGATGATTTGGTGTTTTATTTGCAACGGTTGGGGTCTTAGGTGCATGGCTACGTTATGGATTTTAAGATATCAACTTGGCGATCCGTGGGCAAGTTGGTCATGTTGTTGGTCCGTTTCTCACAGGCTGAACGTTTCAGGGAGAATTTACTTTGCTACAGTGATAGAATCGACGGGGAATCTATCTCCAACTTGCCTCTACTTGAAACTTACCAGGCCCTGCTGTCACTGTTGCTGTCTGTCGATGCGACATCTGTCTTCAGTCAACGTCCAAGACTGCCCACAGCCACCTACCGTTTTGTAAACATGCAGACTCTGAGACTTAATACGTCAAAAGATCAATAACTATCCGAGTGACTGCGTGCCCTTGCTGCGCTACTTGAGGTGATCGTTTCGCACGCCGTCTGTCAAGTAGCAGCCATGGGAACCAATGGGCAATCAACCACTGACAGCAAAGGTGTCTCCAACAGTGGTCCCCGACTTACCTCTGTGGCGCTGCCCACTGCCGGCGCCAAAGAGGCAGATACTTCTTCGTGTACCAAACTCTTGGGTCTTGACGCAGTTCTCTTCGTGCTCTCCAGTGAGTGGAGACTGAGTGGTACCAGTCGGGTTCACGGACCTGGAGAGCTCGATCTTGCCTTTAGGGGAGGAAAGAAGACCTTGCCCGACGCCTGCCAAGGTAGTTAGTTACCTGGGCACCTGAACGGTTCAGCCGTAAATTAAATTTCAACAAAGTTTCAATTTTTTCATCTCTCCGTCTACTTGAAAGATGGAAAGAAGGACATGAAAATAGGTTAATTCTCCCATCTCCATCCATTTTGGTGCTTTTCCTTCTCATCATACCTCAGCATCGCCAACCGAAAACAAAATGAACGGCTATCTATCCACCAAATCCCTTTCATCCGACATGGACCACGGTGGCAACTCCGCTCACCACACAAACGGCTGTGTTGATAGCAGTACACATACCAATGCCAACACAAACGTGAGCGGCAATGCGGACACCAACAGCAGTGCAACCTCCAAGATGAATGCTGCAGACGACAAGACCTACAGCCTGTGTCCCCGGGCGTACTTCAAGCAATTCCATGAGGCCTGGATACCCACCAAGACACCACACATAAGATCGATCGAATTCCAATTTCAATACCATCGTCTGGCACCAGAAAGATACAACGTCTACAAAAGATACATCGACGCAGCGTATGGCATAAGCAACGCCATCGAGCGAAATATGCACAACTGGTGCCAGGAGCAGCTGCGTCAAGGCAACCGCGTCTCTCGTCGTCAGGTCTTGGCGAATATCCGGTCCACATGCAGAACGATCGACGAGCGCCTGGATATCCTCAAGGAGCAATTCGACTGGGAGATAATGGATCTCGAAAGGGCTGAGGCTGAGAGTCTAAGGCGCAGACTTGAGAGTCGCAGATCTAGACATGAGGGTTGGATGTAGACATAGATACACCACTTCTTGGGTGAGCTTCGCAATGGATCAACGAAAAACAATAAGCACAGAAGAGTTAGCTTTGGAAAAGGTGCAGGCAACATGTTCGTCTGTCACTAATCTTTTAACATGTATGGACCCATTAACACCAGAGTAATCTTCAGCTCTTGACTTCAAGTATGACGCATTCGTGCTGCAATTTTCTTCGTCGTTGAATTTACGCAATCTAGCTTAAGGTACGTCAAGGTAGGTACTTGGAAGGTAAGGCACTTTTGTCACTGAACTTGGCGGGCAGTTGAAGGATGCACTTTGGCTCGCGCCAAGATTCGAAGTCGCCAATGAAAAGAGGCCGCCAACGCCCGTCAGCTGACTCCCTTTCTTAAGTACGACCTCATCTTCCTCTCCAAACGTCTCGTCTCTCCCCATGATACGTTGAGCGAGACGCATTTCATCGCATCCAAACTCATGATGGCAGAGTGCAAGCTCGACGCTGTGGAGGATCTCCCAGTTACCGACGACCTCCCTTCGACCCAGATCCTTGCCGAAGCGGCCGACATCGAAGTCCTGGATCATAAAGGACAGCCGCACCTTTTCCGATCGGTTTATGACGGGGAGGAAACGTCCTCAAGGGTTGTAGTGGTCTTCATCCGTCACTTCTTTTGCGGGGTGAGCTCCGGTCTTTTTTTTTTTTTTTTCGTATCGGATACTGACGTTGAAAGGCATGTCAATCGTACATTGAGCTCCTCTCCTCCACCGCGACGCCTGCTCTGCTTTCTACCCTCCCTGTGGCCACCACTTTTGTCATCATCGGCAACGGCGAGCCCGCTCTCATCAACGAGTATGCAGAGAAAACAAAGTGCCGTTTTCCAATCTTTACAGATCCCACAGGGAGGCTCTTTGATGTGCTGGAGATGGCCAAGACCACGGCTGTGGGTGCCAGAACGAGGTACTCGCCCGAGAGATGGCTCTGGCTCTTTGCAGACGGGCTCAGTAATATCGTGACCCAGTTCTCGAAGCTTCGCTTGGCCGGGAACCCCATGCGTGTTGGCGGGGAATTCGTTTTTGAGCCCGGTGAGGCGGGTAAAGTTGTGACTTGGTGTCATCGAATGCGGAACCATCGAGATCATACCGAGGTTGACGAGCTTTTTACAGTTTTGGGGATTCAGACACCAGGGGACGATGGGCCGAGCGAGTAGCTTCTCGGTCCTATTCCTCGCAACAATCCTGTATCGCAAATGAACCGGTGTGTTGGGGAGCTTTGATTTCTCGTTACACACTTGAATCTCCAAGGGTGACAAGTGTAGAAACCCGTATTCCATTGCAGCAAGCTAATTTCAACCTCCCTTCCCAGAAGGCAGTGGCATGGTAGATATCTTGAAGTAACTACCCGAGGTACTTGTAATCCATCCTGATTTTTAAACGAGCAAACGAGATCTCGTAGGCCATCTTGCAGAGTCATTCCTCCCAGCCCAAACGCCTTGCCGATTTCGATCCAGATCCCTCCCGTCCTCCAAGCCTGATCCAAATGTAGCATTGCAACCTGAAAGACACAGTCTCTGTCAGAACCAGACCGACTCTCCAAGATAATTACTAACCTAGTTCTCGCCATCCTGCGACTCGGAAGACTCAGAGAATCGAGCATCCGGGTTCAGGTACCGAATCCGAATGCCATACGGCGTCCGGAGAACCTCCAAGATGGGCTGCTCGTCGCCAAAGATGCACTTGCCCAGCATCTTGACACCCTTCTTCTCGAATGCGGGCCACATCGTCATGAACGCCTGCTCATTATCGTCGCGCCACTGAGTTAAAGAATCAAGCAGGGCGGGTATCTCAATGATGTCGGGGGAGCGCGGGCTCAGATCATCCTCTACGACGCCTCCAAAGTCGACGTTGCAAATGATGCTCTTGAGGTTGGGCAGTGTAAGCAGACTGCCAACGCCTCTGGGGTTGTCGCTGGCGAAGAAGCCAGGTGTGTTGAGGTGGATCGTGCGGATGCAGTTGAGTACCAGAACCGCTTGCGGGGGCGGTAGAAGAAGGGTGTTGGTGAAGATGATGTTGGGCAGGCAGTCGGGGTAACCGTAGCCCATGGTAGACTGGGGCCTGAACCTGTCAATCTCGGGAAGGACCCAGGCGTCGACGATGAGGTTCTGGGCAAGGTCTGCCGTGACCATGGGAATGCGGATGAAGTGCTGATGGACGAGGCCGCGTGTGGCTCGGCTGATCTCGAGGGGAAGGTGGATGCTGTTGAAGCGGCACTTGTGGCTGTCGTACGTTTCAGGTGCGGCGTGTTCCCTGGCGTAATCGCGGAGGACGAATCTGGTATCAACGCGGGCGTCGTAGCTGAAGCACCACAAAGCCGGGGTCTCTTCGTCCTTCGTGTCTTGAATCAGTTGATCGATGATAAGGAGGAAAATGTCGAAAGACAACGACCGGGGGCCAGCTCTGCCGGGAATATTCTGGAAGACAAAGCTGTTAAGTCTCGGTCGGCGCCGTATGGGAGCTTGAGTGGTTGCAAAACGCCAGTCTTGACCGTCGACCGCCATTTCTGTCGTGTTTGCGCGAGGTGGTGAGTTGCGAAGGTTATTTAGCAAAGTAGAGCACGAAATCGGGCTCCGAGATGTCGAGGAGAATGTTGAAGCAGAGCAGAACCCTTCCGAGAGCAATTGCTGGTGTTCGAGCTGAGGAGTTCACCTTCCGCAGGAGGAGATTCGGCTTGGAATGGGGGATGATGTTGAAAGAGGAGGGAAACCACTCTTGTTGGCCGTCAAGTCTTGAACAGCAAGATTTCTTGCTTTTCAATCCAGAGTTTGGCGCTCCCTCCAAAGTTGTAGGTGAGGTGCCTGGTGGAGATGGAGGATTGCTGTTGAGGTGTTGTCTGAGGGACTGGAGGCCAACGAGAAGGAAGGAATACCCAGATCAATTGAAATGGAAGGCGAGATATTTCTCCATGGCCAGCTAGGCTCTTCCTTCCTAGAGGAGCGTCTGGAGTCTAGGTTTGTGCGGGCTCGAGAAGGTCATGATAAGGTCCACCGCAAGCCTCAGCTAACCGAAGAGTAGTGTGGAGTTGTGAACGAGGCGGGAAGTCGTAAAAAGGGGATGAAAGAAATGAAAACTGGTATGAACGGGGCTCCATGCATACTTGGACAAGCGCAAACATGTTTGGGATCATTGTCTGGGACCAAGTAGGCCAAGACTTGCTTTGTGAAATACAGAGACTTGGTATGTTTTCAAGTTCTCAAGGACTTGATGAACGAGCCTTGCTCTGCCGGATCTGCTCTTTGAGGGTGATTTTCCTTAATAAACCAGTAATAAACACATAAATACCAGTCAGAGTATGCGGATGGACCGGTTGAGCTTGACTTTCTGGTGCTGGTGCAGGGTGCAGTTCAAGGCATGTTGACTGAGCTCTTTTACTGACGAACTCAGAGACCTGCTTTTGCCGACGTATCGATGCTCGTCTTTTGAGACTCCGGCAACATCGGGCAGTGACGAAACTTCTCTTGTCCTTTTCCTATGACCGCTTTCCATTTGCTGTCGTGTTGTGGACATAAGGAGTCTGATCCCAGGTCACTGAATGATCAGCTCAGTAGGTAATCAATCTACATGGACCGCCCAGAAATATACACAATTGAGAGGGGGGTTCATTCAATTTCCTCAAACGCCACCATAATGAGAATGTGAAGTGCCAACGTTGGAGAAGGTAAGATTCAAAAACCGTCGTAGATGGAGGTCAACAGGTCATTGCTGGTTGGAGCAAATGTGGCCGCGACAGAAATGTGGTAAATTCTCTTGATTGGTGTCATGCACGCAGGGAAATGTACTTAGATTCTCCTCGCGGTACTCAAAATCAAGACACTGTTACCGAACGCTGAGGTTCGCATGGTTGAGCTTTCTCAAAATATGTTGTTGAGCTCTGATGGCAACTCTTTTTATGGGGCTTATTTTGAAGAACGCCACGATGACAATTCCCTTGGCGTACATGCAAATGTAACCAACACGCAGCCTTTTGAGGGGCCTCCTTGCCACTGTGTTTGGGGATACCGACGGAAATCAATAACCCCTCCATGCGGGGTTAGTCTCAGCACCACGCCGGTATGCTCGGTAGTTCGGTTAGATTGAATGAAGATCAGATGATGTGACGACATAAACAAGAATGAGCCGCCTCATTTTCAGAGGGCATTTTTCTGTGAAGGATCTCCTGCCCCGAGGGTTCCGCAAAAGTACAACATCGCCTCGCGCAAGACCAATTCGTGTATCTCACTTGCAACCCTCAAAATAAAATGTCGTTCCCACTCAAGCAGCCCAAGACCCGACAGACGGCCTGTGGCGGTGATCTCCTCGCCCAGTCTCTCGCGCACCTTGGTGCAACTACAGCATTCGGACTTCACGGTATTCTCATTGTTCGTGATTCGGAATGAAGCGCTAACAGTGCGAAGGTGGACATCTCGATCCCTTCCTCGTCGCCGCTGTTGAGGCCGACATCAAGCTCATCGACGTCCGACATGAGACCGTCGCTGTCCAGGCTGCCGAAGGCTGGGCAAAGGTCAAAGGCAACAACGTTCCTGGTGTTTGCTTCTTCACTGCCAACTCGGGCTTCGCCAACGCCTATCCTGGCCTGTGTACCGCCTTCGCCGACCGATCTCCAGTGTTCTGTGTTACCAGCTCAGCTCCGCCCCGCGATGACCACACCAACGCGCTGCAAGGGTTCCATGATCAAGTCACCCTGTCGAAGCCAGTGACCAAGTTCTGTTATCAAATCACCGAAGTCAGCGAGATTCCCCGGGTTGTCAGTCTAGCGTGGCGAGCGACCACGTCGGGCGCGCCTGGACCGGTATTGGTGGACATTCCGATTGATGTGCTGTCGACGCCCGTCGAGAGCATTTCGTCTGGGGGACTTCTTTCCGGCTTGTCATTGAACCCTGCTCCGCATCCTGAAGCCATCGAAAAGGCACTTGGTCTATGGAAAAACGCAAAGCGACCTGTTATAATTGTTTCCACCGGCGCCGCCAGCGCAGTTGAAAACGTCACAAAACTGGCTGAGGCAACGAACACGCCCATATTCCACTCGCCAAAGTACTCAACGTCCATCAAGCGTTCTCATTCTCTGTTTGGTGGATCAGCCACGCAACTTGCGGTCTTGCGCTACCTCGGCGGTCAAGTCCCGGACTTTGTGCTCTTGCTGGGAGCTCGAACGGGGTTCTTGATGGGTGGTAGAAGTGGCGGGATCATCCCGAACGAAGGCGAAGCCAGTGTTGTCCAAGTCGACCTAGACGGCGGGGAGATTGGGCGATCTCGGACTATTGACGTATAAGACCCTCATCTTCTCGCCAGAATCTTGACTGACATGACTTTGTTAGGTCGGCATTGTCGCAGACGTTGGACAGGCGGCAGACGCGATGATAGCCGCAGCATCAAAGTCGTCCTTCAAAGCAGCAGACGACTGGGTGGAGAAGACCATGGGTCTGAAGAGCTCTGCCGTCGCCTCAGCCCCGAACGAAAAGGAGCCTGTGATTCTCCTAGAAAACAACAGGTTGCATCCATATCACGCCATCAAGAAGCTGTTCCAGTCGCTGCCAGAAGACAGCATTGTCTGTGTCGATGGCGGTGAGGCTGGCGGATGGGCTCTCCAGTGCCTGAACGAGGCCAGACCCCGATTGTCCATGGTGGCGACTGGCTACTTGGGGTGCCTTGGGAATGGCTGGGGATACTCGCTAGGTAAGTCATTCGGCCCCGGATTCAGTTCTACACAGCGGCTGACAATATTCAACAGGTGCTGCCGTGGCTTCTCCAGACACTTTGGTTGTCAACTTGCAGGGTGACGGCAGTGCAGGTTTCCACATCGGCGAGCTCGACACGTACGCCAAGTACGACTTGAACATCCTCACTGTCATCGTCAACAACGCCGTCTGGGGTATGTCTCTGGCAGGACAGGAGATTATCTACGGTGACAAGACCCCGCAACGGCCTTGTATTGCGATGAACCCCAAGGTAAAATATGAGGTCGTCGCGCAAGGCTTCGGCTGCCTATCTGCTGTAGTCGATGTCCATCTTGATGACAGCTCTGAGAGTGATGGCTCCAAGACGTTGGAGTCGCTGAAGCAGACTGTCGGTAGTCTGTCGAGCTCCAAGAGTCCAGGACTGCTCAATCTCAACGTTTCCGATGTGCCATATCAAGCGACCACCAAGGCCATGGTACGTCACCGCCTTCCGTCAAAACTAATTTGCTGACTTGAGTTCCAGGTTGGGCAAAGTGATGACCCAAATATCATTGTCATCCCTTACTATGACAATGTGCCTAAACCGTATTACAAGGCCGGAACGCCCAAGACGGCGAATGGCAAAGCTGATGATAGCTTTGTTGAGGGTCACGGAATGATTGGATGACTGGGTTCAAAAGGGAATTCCTGTGAAATTTAAGCTACAATTTGGGAAATAGCAACATCATTCTGAGCGATACTTGCAAATAGATGAACCTGAGTCCACCCCCTCCAGCGACCCTTCTCTGTTGCTGCCAATTCTCATCGTCTCCGTTCGAGCTTACTTCCTCCTCAGGGGTCCTCCAACTCTTGCATCCACGAAGAAACGTCCTTGGGCTGAGACCCCAGGGGTGAGCAGCACAGACAGAACCCCCTATGCCAACAAAAGGTGAATCGACGGCAGCCGAGTTCGTCCATCTGGACCGGAGAAGTGGATTTCTCGATGACATGCACCTCAAGACCTCTTTGATCGGCATTTCCCCTTAGCCTCTTGGCTGTGGGGGCTCTAGGGGTCCTATCTCTTGCCCCGTGAAGTTGCTGGCTCGCCCTGACCCTCTTCCCTGGACCCCTGGACTCTTGTGACACTTCTAAGGCCGTGCCGGGTACAGGGATCGTCTCCAGATCGAGGTCAATAACCTCGTGATCATCAACTTGGGCGGACTCTTGGTTTTCATCCGTCATTGTGTCGCAAATGTTTGGTCCACTTGCGTGAGCATAGTCCAAAGCCGTCGATAGCAGCGCGATCAGGTCTCAGCTTGTCTCCACTTATACAAAGCTTGAGGATCTGCAGGCCGTCCTCAGATCGATATGCAAGGAAACCACATGTCTTCGGTGCAAAGCAAGCTCCTGCCTCGGATATCACCAGATCTCTGGTGCGGAATGTGACTCTAGCAAGCGATCTGAGTTCGCGTATGACGCCGTCGAAGTTTTGCATGTAAACTCCTTCTGCTGTACTTGGAACGATATTCCCTATGCTGACTTGTTGCATAGCAGACCTCTGGTGAAAGTTGCGCCGGGACATGACCAAAACGTCGAAACTGGGAATGCCATCTCTCATGCTCTTGCAAAACAGATACTCGGGTTTCGTGTCGCGTGAATCAGTGTCTGGCGAAGACGGCTGTGTTATTCTCCGTTTCGGCGTCATCTAGTTCGGGATCCAATTGGGATAGTTCCTATCAGCCTTGTTAGCATACCGAGGCACGAGAAAAGATGATGAGTGACTCTTGCAACAAGGTCTACCTGCCAATTAAGCCCTCGTCATCAATGGTCGCCCAGTCACTCCTTCC